GACAACTGACTCAGTTGATGCGATTGAATGAATGAAGGTTGGCTTGAGGCGAGAGTAACCCTGACCCTACGTCATGCATATTGGGGTTTAGAGTTAAGAGTTTCGACCTTAAATCCCTGGGCCTTCAACCCCTAAACCCCGTAATCCCTAAACTCCTCAAACACCCCAGCAACCAAAGCTCTCCGCCAGGCCCAAACCTTAAGCTTCAATTCTTGTAGCCTAAACCCCACCTCCGAATTTAGGGATTTAGGGTTTAGGGTTTAGGGCGAAGAAGGAGGCCTAGGCCGCCGTATATCCTGCGTTACCGAATCCAGAACGCCCTACACACCCTAATACCTTCTACCCGTATAATCATGAGCAGCGAATCCCGCCCAAACCTGAAACCCTCAAACTTTCGAACCTTGAAACCCTAGCGCGGCCCCAGGCCTTCAAGCGCCAAAACCCTGCTTGGAGGTCTTGGGGGTCCTGGATATGTCTGACCTACCTGAGCCTACTCCAAAGTACAGCTACCCTACATGTACTTGCGAACAACCAGCAAGTTTACCCTAAGCCATGAACCAGACACATCACTACGAAGCCCCAGTTTTCTTTCCATGCACCATTGATTTTTCATTCTCAATTGACAACCTCAAGGTAGTCCTATAAGGCCCTAAACCTTAAACCATAAACCCTTATCTTTAGGTTACCCCGAAATAATTCCTGCATCCCTTTCGGACCCTATGCCCCCTTGACGTACTGTTTTTTGTAGACAATACAGGAATTAAATCCCTGCACAATTCCCATATAATGTATTCCCTCATTCCTCCCTAAGCCCTAAACCCTATATATTCCCTTATTCCCTACTAAGCCCTACACCCTACGTAAACCCTACATATTCCCTTATTCCCTACTAAGCCCTACACCCTAAACCCTACATATCCCCGTATGCCCCACAAAAAACCAGCAAGCTAAGCAGGAACCCCTGCCTTCGACGGCACCCGCTGCCACCCCCGGCGCCCCGTCGCCGGCGGAGCCAGCAGAGGTGGAGAATCCCCAGCCTGAGGCCAGGGCTTCCGATTCGGTGTATAATACAGGGGTTCTGTTGGGATAATGGGGAAAATGGAAACCCCAGGTCCTTTTAAGGGGATATATAGGGTTTTTGAGGGATGATGGAAAATAAGATGGAAACTACTATAATGGGTTATATAGTGATTAGGCTTAGGGTTTGCGATTCGGGGTTCAAGATTTGGCGTTTAGGGCTTGGGGTGTCGGGTATGGGGCTTGGGGTGTAGGGTATGGGGTTTAGGGTATAGGGTTTGGGGTTTAGGGTATAGGGTTGAGGGTTGACGGTTTTCATGTTGGGTTTTTATGTTGGAGGCTTGGGGTTCGGAAATATGCCATATCCCCCTGTAAGCCCATTACAACCTTTTTGTATATAACCAATCGTAAGTCGGTTCACTCACCCATTGGTAGATCTAGGGCTTCCAAAGCGTGATAGCGTTTTGGCGGGTAGCGTTGCTAGATTTCCTAAGGGTCCAAGTACCTCATAATCATATACTTACCCAGAACTTGTGCTACAATTACTACTGACTACTGCCAAAACCCCAAGTATCCAAATATTGGGTACTTGGACCCTTTCGAATTAGAAGGGTGGTCTTCTTTGGGAGGGAGGGGTGGGTGTTCAGGCGGTGCCAACAAAGACAAGCCAGTTCCACATGAGCTATAGTCTAGACTCCTAAAGGGGGTGATATAGGTGATTATGTATGGGAGAATTATATGGGTTATTAAGGCGGCTACTGGAATTTAGATGATGGCTCAGACAAGAATTTCTGTTTGGAGTATCTTGCTGAGGGACGCCTGCGAGCCCAAAAGGCTAGATCAGCCCAGGGGCTATTCCATTCTCATACCTCAACCCCCCTTCGGCCGCTAAACCCTAAACCATCAAGGTGCCACAAACTCAAGGGGTTGAGGATCGAGGGTTAGGGGGCTTGATGGTTCTAATGGTTTCGCACCGTTCAGCCTTACTTCATCTGCAGGTTTAGGCTTTATAGTTTTAGGGGCTTAGGGCTTTTGGGGGGCGATTCTGGCTGCAATGGGATTTCTGATTATAAACCCCCAAACAATAACACAATTCAAAATAATGGGGGGTCCTTAGTTAAGTTTGGGAAAAGTTCCTTGGCGGCGTCCTGGAGGAATTGAAAGGTCTTGTAGAGCATGCCATTATTCCGTTTCTGCCGTATAAATATTCCGTACGGGACTAGAGGTCGCTTTATTCCGTACTCTTGTTCCGCTCGGCCTTCCGTAAATTCGGGGCCCCAACATAGATCCTTAGCCTACGTACTTATGGAGACCCCCCCCCAAAAAAAGAGCCTGTAATTTTCGGGAATCTTCCACTTGAGGATGCAAGGGGTGCCTTACATCGGCGCGAGATTCGTGCAGCTTGCATGTGTGGGCTGAACTTTTCCAATCCTAAAGCCGCTGCAGCAAGGCCCTTTTCAGGATCAAAGCCTGCCATCCGAAGTTGTAAGCCATGAAAAGTCTTAAGCGCATAAATTGCGTTGGAGAAATGTCTATGGCCATACTGACCCCGAAGGGGTCAGATGGAAATATCAGGTTCAGGGTTTATAGAAGGTAGGGTTCAGTCCAAAAGCTTCCGCCCTCAACAGCGGACCAGGCGCCACAATTAGTGAGAGCCCAGAGTCCTAGAGTTACGGATTTGTTGCGTGGGCCATTGTAACTGCTATCGCACACCCGCCTTGGCTGTTTGGGTGCACAAGAATTCCTTGCATACCACATTGGGTTGTCGGGAGGGGACGCAAAAGAGGGGGTTTTAGAGGGTTCCAAACGCCCTGAGGCTGGACAAGCCTCGGCGAATTCCTTACCCCGAATCCTAATCCTGACGCTATCCTAAACCCTAACGCTGTCAAGGATTGGGAAAAGAGCGGAATACACTGTAATCTGCAAGGGGCTTGGTGTCCAAGAGTTCTTCAGGATAAAGCGGCTGTAGCCAAAGCAGCGCAAGATTGTAGGACATACAGCTCGTCCCACTGCGCTCCGTGTTTTGCATGATGGCTCCTTCAGTCACGGCTTTTTATCGTTTAAAATGGGCTGTATGCGATGCTGCGCAAACTGCAACGGACCTATTTCTGCTGTTCAAGCTATAGAACATAGAGTTTGTCCCACTGGGCGCAGTGATCTCGGTAATCGGACACAATTAGAACACGAACGTTATTATGGTCTGGGCACGGATGCTCTCGAACACGAATGCGGGTGCTTTTACGTGAGGGTTTCAGAAATGCTGCGTTTGACAGGTTGAAATGGCTGTAGCCGAAGCTGCGCAAGACTGCAAATCAGCGTGAATGCTCTGGGATCCTCTGCTCTCGAAACTGAAATCTCCTGCGTAATAAGTGTTCTCCATCGGAGAACCCTAGGCGGTCAATAAACCCTAAATCCTGAACAATAAAGCTTATACCCTGAACCCTAAACCCTGTTGTACTCTACCTATATTCCCCCTTAAGTGTAGGAATATGGTTTTGGGTATATTATAACAAGATCACCATATACCCCCTATTCTAGCTACTTAAGGGGGACTATAACTTTAGGCTCCCTGGAAGCATGCCCCGGAAACCTTCGGCACTTTCCCAATGTAGGGGGACCCTGGTATGCACCCAATAAACTATGATCCGGTTTGGTGTTTAGGGTTTAAGGGTTTGGGGTTTAGGCTCCTTACTATGGGGACCCCCCAAGTGGCACCTCTAATTTTAGGAAATTTCCCCTTTGTATGCAGGATTTCATGGAAGGGCAAGAGGTGGTCGTGGACGGCGGGGCCCTCAACGCTGCGGGAAGGTCAGTTTAGGGTTTTAGGGTTGGGGTTTAGGGTTGTCGGGTTTAGAGTTTCAGGGTTTAGGGCGGAAGTACTCAGGGCTTGTAATGATTTTAGCGTTTGGGGCTTTAGGGTTTAGGATTGTACTGGATCCCTATGTTGTAGTTTCCATTTTCTTTTCCATTACCCTTAAATAAACCCCATAAGCCCTAAACCCTTAAAAGCCCCAAACCCCTAAACCCT